TTCCCCCCCCCCCCCGCGCTCCCCCTGGGTAGCGGGTGGGGGCAGACAGACGAGCGTCTTGACTAGCTCGCGAGCTCGGTCACCTACACCACCACTGTAGACCCCCTTACGTCCATCCATCGCTCGCCCTCGCTTCTCCTCTCGTGTCCACGCCCGACGTTGCGTGTCGGCCCCGGTAGCTCGAGGAGAACGAGAGACGGATAGTGAGCGGCCTAGAGGCGGCGGAAGACAGCCACGCCGCGGCCGGCCTGAGTCACTTGAGGAACCGGCCCAAGATCGTTCCGAAAATGTTCGCCGTCAGCTGCAGGCATCACCAGGTACGGCCAGAAAATGCCTCAGGACACGGGTTGGTAGTGCTTGCCGCGGACACCAACACACCATGTTGCCTAGGTGATGAGAGTGAAACGGGGGGCGTATTTTGTTGGCGTCGCCCGCTGTAGAAGTCAGGGTCAGGTGCAAACGGCATGGTCTGAGGCGAGGCATCTCATCTGAACTTAGCAATAATCTCGACAATTGTTGGAAAATGTTGACGATTTTTTCAGGGTCCGTTATGTGTTGCAACCTGTTTTGGGTGGTTGGCCTGTGACCGCGGAATGCGTCCGCGTCAGTTGGGCCTGTACGCGGCGTTAAAGAAGGTCCTGAGCGGAGACTGGAACAGTTTTTAATCGTGAAGGCACAAGCACGCAACGCCCTGCTTCCCACCCGAATTGCTGCTGAAAATACCATGCTCGCCACCAATTGCTCGTAAAGTTTTTTAGGAGTACGGCAGCCGTGGCTGGGGGGTTGACCCGCGCAGAACTACGGGGGTCGGGGAGACCGGAGACCTGTGGACAAAACGTTCGAGGTGTCCCTGTGACCTGACCCGCAAAACAACGGGTCATTCCTTAACCTGACCTGCAAACCCGGGTCAGGACCAGACCAAAAGTCATCGCTGCCCACAGCCAAAGAAGAGTCTCTGAACCAAACGACTAAGGCGGAATCCGCCTACAGTAGGCACGCACATACACCCGCTCGTGGGAGGGTCTGAGAGGACGTACAAGCATCGTCCTTCGTTTTTGTTCTCTTTTTACCACTACACAATCCGGGCACGGTCTTGCACAGCGGTGTTCTCGGACTGTATCATACGGTGGCTGAGCTTTTTCTTGCTGTTCGTCGCCTCAATTCCCAACGCCTTCCGAGCCAGGGTTTCAGAGAATTCCGCGAGCAAGTCCTCAACCTCGCCGGGGACGCGAAGCGTTTCCCCCCCTCCCGGCTACCACCCACTTGGTGGAAAGCCGACCGACTCGTCAAGCAGCGGCGGGAAGAGGGCCACCACATCATCAGCGTCGGAGACCTCGTCGTCGGCCTTAGGGACGGCGTTGGTGGAGAGGTTCCGGCGGCCCCCGCCGGGGACGGTCAGAGCTGGGAAGACTCGCGGAACGCGGTTGTTTCGACGGTGAGAGTGGGGAGTTGCGGATGGTAGTGGACGTGAGGGTGTGTGCTCATATCCGTGCACGCTGCAGTCGTTGGAACATTGGCCTCGAATCCCTACAAAGCGGGGACGGAGCACGCCGGGTTCTCACCGGATCAGGCTCTCACATCACCAAGCAGTGGATGCGGGGCGCGGGTCAACTTGACGCGTGTACTGTGGTCGGTTGACTAGAGAGGAGTATATCCACACTCATTGCACGAAAATCTCCCGGACAACAATATATTTGTGTTTGCGTGTAGTGCTGCAGTATATCCATATCCACGTTCTTGGCTGTGTTAACCGTGGTCCGGCGCCCTCCCCTGTGTGTGTATGTGTGTCTTTTCTTCTCTCTGGTAGCTGGAGTGGCTGAACGACACGTCCGAGGTGGTGTACTTCAACAAGCCGGGCCTCGACGAATTCGTCATTCTTCACCCGAGACACCTCATGAGCGCCATAAAACAAGTCGTCAGGTGGGCAGGGAAGGTGACAGCTGTAAGCGACGGTTCCAGAAATCGACGACGGAAACGCACCTTATACCAAGAACAGGAAACAAATCCATCGCCTTTCGGGAAGCCCTAGCCTTTCGCAACTATGGTACATGGCATGAGAGAAATATGCACTGCCCCTTCGAGATTGTGTCGTTGTCTGTTGGTGGACAGAACCTTGAGTTCTGGTCGTGAAGCACTCTCCTTGTTGGTGGCGAAGTCTGCTTCTGACCACGGTCTGCTGGCACTCACTACATGCACCTTGTCCGTCTCGGTGGAAATCGTCCCCTCCCCTGCTGTCGCCCCGTCGCCGCCGGACTACTACCTACGATGCAACAAACAATCGATGGATCAATCCGCAATGCGATGTACATCTGTTGTACATCGAACTCAAGGCGGGACCTGAAAGAGGAGCTCAGTACCCTGGTCCGTCACCACCAGGAGAAGCAGCAGCAGCAGAGACGGCAGCGGCTGTTGGATACGCCGACGATGCCGACGCTGCTTCCGCAGACGTCGCCCCCGTGCCCGTCGGACTACCCTCCGCTCGCGCCGTCCTCGACTCCCTCTTCCCGAAGAGCCAGTGGACAGGGTCAACGAGCTGCGGCGCCGGGGGCTCCGCGGTCGCAAGCATCCAAGGGGGAGCCCCCGTCCCTCGAGGCCGCCCCTGCGGCGGCAGCGGCGGCGGCGGCGGCGTCGACTTCGGCGGTCGCGCCGGCCGGGTCTGAGAACGCCAGGAAAACGGCTAAGAAAAACGCCTCTTCCCCTAAGCCGGGTGGCGAGTCGGCGGGACAATCCCGCCGAAGCTCGCCAAGATTCAACCACACAAGCGGTAGAGGCAGCGGGCGCGGGAGCAGCGCGCCCCACCAGATCGCTGGAGCGTGGGGTCGGGGCGCTGGGCGAGGAGGAAACGTCCCCGTGGTCGGGAGTTCTCCCGCATCCGCATCCGCCGCCACCGCCGGCCCCAACGGTGACGGAGGTAGTTGGGCCGCGGCGGTGGGGTACCTGTCGGTGGCCCCGGCTCCGGCGAGGCAGGCAGGGGACGTTTCGAATCCGTCCCCTGTTACGACGCCGCCGCCTGCTGCTGCTGCTGCCTCCAGTGCCAATGACAACGACGGCAAGAGGCCGTCTTACCTGGAAACGCTCTCTAAGGGCGCCGCGGTCGACTCCGGCGGTGGCGCCAACAGCAACACCGCGAGAAGAACGTCATCGGGGGGCAGCAGCCCGGCACCGGTGCCCGAAGCGGTCTTGACCTACCGGGACGAGCAGAGGCTCGACGACGGTTTCGTGAGCAGGGCGGCTATTGACGCTCTGCTGGAGCCGCTCGCCGAGTTCAACTGCAACCGACTGGAGCGGGAGTTTCTCATCAGGCTCTTTCAGGTATGGGGGCTTGAACGCGTTTCGCTGAAGGGCTCGCCGTGCGCTGCGGTCGGTGGTAGTAGCTTTTCCGTGTACACGTCTATCGTGTGGTCTGTAATAGCTTGGTGGTTTTGTGGGTTCCCTTTGTGTGTATGTGTTTTCTAGAGGGGCACCGCAGAATGAAAATTGGCAGAAAACAACACAAACGTTACCGGCAACAATAGCAACAACATCTGACGTATTTTTCTATGAGGACGGCCACGCAACGCCTGTGTGTGACGGCTTGGCTACCGCTGTGGGAGGCTATCCATCCATTTTCATGCGAAGGAAAGGCAAACATGTCGCAAAACGTGATGTTCCCCGCCCCGACCGCGAACAGCGTGAGGACCGTACGCACGTCGAGACCTCCCTAGCGTTGGCAATTGCCTCCAGTAGGCATTAAAACAGCGACGCCCCCGCTCGGAAGAGGTACGTGTCATCAAGGGTCGATTAGCCGAAGCAAGAAAGCAATGAGCACGGTAGAAAACGCACCCTCGATTTGTTTTCATCCTCGTGAAAAGTAGCCTGGGCCGGCGAAAACCTGGCTAATCGCTCCGTCCCGGCATTGCAGGGATGCGAGGTCAGTGGTCTAACGACTACGGCATGCGTTTACATGAGCACCACCGCCCTCCCCCGTTGTCATCACGCAACAGGAGTCGTGCGTGCTCGTCAAGGCCACGGACGGCCCCCCCTCGAGGCCCGAGACGGGGAAAGGCGCGGCCAAGGTCAAGGGGCCGCCGCGGGGCGTCGTGCGGTCGCAGTCCATGGGACCAACAGGTTCGAAGAAGAGCGCCTCCGCTGCCGCGAGCAGGGAGCAGGAGGTGGAGTACTTCATCCCCTGCCTGCTGCCGGTGAGAGAAAGAGTAACTAGGTGTGACATGTCGGACGGCCTTGTTGGTGTTGCGTGGCGGAGAATGGAGGGAGGAGTTGTGCACGTTGCTTGACGGGGTTTTGCCAGATCCCCCCTTGGGCCGTGGGCCGCACGAGGAGAAGTACCGCAAAGGAACAGCTCGTAGGGCCTCATGGAAAGAACTTCCCGAATGCGTATTGTTTGGCATTGGCACCCTCTTGGTAGTGAAGCAATCTATTACATATATATACCGTACATATATATATATATATATTTTTTTTTGGGGGGGGGAGCAAGGGGGGGTCTGATATACACCGTGGAGCACGGTACTATACGTATGTACGTGCATCCTGTTCCTCGGGGAAAATATGTCACAACGACGTTGGTCGTGCTGCACAAGGACCTGACGCGTGGGAAGCTAGCATATAATATTTAGAGGTGCGCCCCGTACGGAAAAATTGGAGTACCCTATTTCATTCCTACAACCCCAAGGTATACCCCGTGTTGTCCTTTTCCATTTTTTTATTTTTGACCAAACACGCACTAAATACCCTGTTTCTTGTTTTCTTTGCTTTCAGACCAGCGGATCAATCGGCCGCAAATGTTGGCGCCACGTTTGCTGACCTGTTCCTTTTGTTTCTGTTCCTTCAGACCCGACCGCACCATCTGTACTAAACGTGTTTCCTGTTTAATTATTTTTTTGTCCTTTCAGACCCGACCAATCGAGTGGACCGCCTCCTGGGTGGCCAACGTTCACTGCGGTAGGCGATGGCACTTCCAACGGTTCGTGCCCCCTTCCCTCATGAGCGCGCTCATCTCGAGGTTCTACGGCATGGGTAAGAGGGGCTCTGCCAGCCTTTCCAGGCGGAGCATCTACATCAAGGTTCCCATCAGGGGGAACAGTGGCGGCAACGGCGGCACGACCAGGAGGTGAGTGTGATCTCCTTGGCACGGTCAGGTGGTAAATTATGTCTAGAAAAAGACAAGAAGTAAGGCGAGTATGAATTATTTCAAAATTGTCTGGCGGTGCATGTAAGCATATCTAGGGAAAGACAGCAAATGAGGCGAGCACGAATGATTATTTCATATTATCAGGTGGTAAGCATGTATCGAAAAACCAACGAACGAGAGTTTGTTGTGCCCAAAGGTGCTTGGTTTGTTGCCAAACCTCCACGATTTTGAGTATCACGTTGGTCCACTTTGGATATTCGGGGTGATGCCGTTACGCTTGTTTTTTTTTCGTGCCAGTAAGTTAGGCACGTTTCGGCAGGGGAGGATGTAGTTCTTCTGCGGGACCCCTCTCATTCAGCAGTCTACTGCATTTTTCCTCTCACATTCAGCGGAGCCAATTTTAATGGGCCTGGCTCCATTTCACCACGCTTTTGCCGTGTGAAACTGCTGCCTTCCGGCGTGTTTTGTTTTTTGAGGCGAGGCGATGCGGAGGTTTTCGCAAAGCTTGCCGATTCACGACCGCTATGGCTGTGTCATGTTGCCCTGCCTTTTTTGGCGTGTTTCGTTTTGTTTTGTTTAGGCGAGGGCATGCGGAGGTTTTCCTAAAGGTTCACCGATTCACGACCGCTGTTGGTGTGTCAAACTGCTTCCGTTTTTTTCATGGAGGGGATACGGAGGTTTTCCTACAGCGTACCCGATTCCCGACCGATATGGCTGCGTCCTGCATTCTTTTTTGTTTTGTTTAGGCGAGGAGAGGCGGAGGTTTTCCTAAAGCTGCACCGAGGCGGCCAGCACAACGCCTTACTCTCCATGCAAAGCCCACGCCTGGAGCTGCTGGCGCAGGCCGAGTCGCATCGGCGTGAGGGGCTGATGCGAGGCCTGGAGGGTTTGGTGAAGGTGCGAGATGACGTGGTTGCCGGTAACGCACCGGTTGTGATGAACAACGTCGGAGTTAGCACTTGTTCTTGATGAGTGACTGACTCGTCCGCTCGGAAAACCGCTAAACCGCCACAAAAAAGCGCTGTGTTCCGCGAAAACAGGGCGTCATCCCGCGTCAACACTGCGGACGACAACGAACCAGTCTCTTTCATCTCACAACCTATGTCACCCCATATATTCATTTCATTCCGGCTTCCGTGGCTTCGTCTCCCATGGTTGCTGCAGGAGGTGGACAAGACGCTCGACGAGTTCCCCGGACTGCTCTTTGAACGAAGGGTACCCTGTCCCGCGTGTATGGAAAAGAAGCCCGGGGACCCCGCGGCATGGGGAGGACTCCCTCTCGAGGTATGTAGCCGGCGGAACAACAACATCTTTTCAGATGATTCTGCGGTGCCCCGGATAGTCCGCTCTGAGTCGAATTTCTCTGCTCGACCGCTAGAATCCGAAGTGCTCGTAAGTTGCGTTGCCTTCGTTCCAAGACAAGCAGGGCCTCTAGGTAGGGTTGAATGTTACTCGTGAATCACTTGTTCTGAAGTTATTTTTTGGCTCGTTGTTATATTTAGTGAGTGTTTCTGATTGTCGTGTCCCCTCTTGTGTGTTTGATTGTTTCTTGTCCTGTTCTTCCGAGCAGATGGTGGAAGACAAAAGGTCATGCCCGGGAGACCTGCCCATGTGCAAGTACAAGTGCCGGTTGCAAGACCTTCAGAAGCGACTCATGTTCGTCGGGGAGTTGCACCCTGAAGGCGACGAGGCCGATGGTACGAACAAAAAAACATATAAAAAAAATCACCATTGTTGCGCCGCTTTTCCTGTTGCTGTTGGTCCAATCAAAAGGAGTCATGTCACGCGGCAGTAGCTACGGGGATGAAGCGTCTGGAACGTGGGTGTATCTTTCTACAGCACGCGTCACGTCGTTCCTGTAGAGAGCCTCTTGCCCTGCCCCGAGGCTCTTGCATCCCATTTTTTTCGTCCGTGGGGAAACCCACTGGGACTAGTGTTGGGCGGTGTTTCAAGTCGCATGTTTTCGGGCGTTAGCGCAAGGCAGAGTTTCGAGTTCTTAGTATTGTAGGGCAGAGTTTCGAGTTGTTATGTTTCGAGAAGTTCTCGGGTAGCGACGGGTCTGTGACGGTATCCCGAGGCATCGATAATCGAAACACGAACGACTGACGACAGTCGAGCAACGCGAACACCGCACTGTCACACATAATACCTTCCCGACAAGCGGCCTATGGTCATTTTGAGATCTTCCGCGTCCATAGATCTATGCTCGGAAACCGACGAAACCCCAACAACTCCACCCGCGTTTCGCGGCGTGCAATCCTATGCGGCGAATCGGCAACCTCTGTTCAAGGCGGAGCCCTCAGCTACCACCACCGCCGCCACGGCAGCGTGTGGGTCTCGCCACTGCCGGAGCTGGGAGTTCCCGGCGTAGTTGATGGGGCCGGGGCGAGGATAGGGGACAGGGACGGCGGGCCTTACCGAGGATTCGGGGTGCCCAGAGTGGAGACCCTGTTCCCCGCGGTGTGCCCGATCGCGATCTACGACTGCGTGACTCAGCGGTGAGTAAACGAAGCAACCTTCGATGATGGCGTGGGGGAGTAGGTCTGGGGTCCCCGTGTATCTTCGACGTGGGGGGTTTAGCAAGCAGAATGCCTGTCTGACTCTCCGAACGAAACAGGGCAACGCGTGTTTCATCCATTGTTCTGGACGAGAGAAGTAATGGATGTCGTGGCTGTGATCTCGCGTAAAGCGGCATGTGTCTCTTTGTTAGACGATAGTTCTTGTGGGCACTATCTGCTGTCTGCTTTGTTGACAACACCAGTCGTATGTAAAAGCCGCTGAACACCATGAAGTGCAAGCGGACGCACACGTGTGCAATCGATAATTTTTCATCGATCGATTGCTCCACAGCCAAGAGAGTGTGCGAAGCCCGACCGGCGGGTGCAGCGAAATATAGCTCTCGACGAGATGATTCCGAAATCCACTCTATTCGGCATTGTTGCCAAGCCTCTTGGTTGGGGTGAAATCGAGCTCTTGACATTCGATGACACACCTGTACGTCCCCCGGCGCACTCCTATCCTATGGGTAGTCTAAGTCAACTCGTGGTGGACACCTAAAGCGGCTACCCACCTACCTCGCTCACCCAACCGCTCACCCGGCTCACCCGTTGGTATAAACGGTTTCGTGTCGTGTGTTGTTGGGTTTTTCCCCCCGCCTCCACGGCGCTTCGCGCTTGGTGATGTGAAAGCCTGGTCCAGTGAGAAGCCAGCGTGCTCCGTCCCGGCTTTGTAGGGATGCGAAGTCAATGGTCAAACGACTACGGCATGCACGACTATGAGTACCCCCCCCCCACCCCTCCCGGTGTTTGCCATCGGGGTTGGGTTTTCGTCGCTTGGCAACGACGTTGTAAAACAAGCCAATTCACTTCGTGAACTCGGCAACCAGGTTAC